GGAAACTGGATTCTCAGCTAATTTTTGATCACCTTGGTTGTCAATATGCAAAATTACAGGAACATCACTGCATTCATTTAATTCAATAAGTAAGTTTTTAATATATTGCTTCCTTTGCCGCATCTGAAGCAGCCAAATATTCAGCCTCTGTAGTGCTGAGAGCGACTGAAGATTGTTTTCGTGACTCCCATGAGATTGTAGAACCATTGAAGAAAAATACAAAACCCTCTATAAGATTTTCTGTCCAATGCGTTTCCTCCCCAGTTAGCATCTACGAACCCTTCCACAGCTTCATTATGATCTTCCGCTTCATAAATAAGTTTTAAAACTATTGTTCCAGATAGATACCTTAGGATGTGTTTCAATTTGGTCATATGTTCAACGTGTGGGTCCGAATTTCGGTAAGCCATCTTGGACACGGAATGCAAAATATCCGGTCTTGTAGAAATCGCAAGGTACATGAGTGTACCAACAAGTGATTGGTAATCGTGTTGATCAACTTTCTCACAGTCATCATTACAATTTAACTGATAACCAGCCTCAAGTGGCACCGAGACTGATTTGCATTAATCCATACCATATTGTCTCAAAATATCACGAATATATTGAGATTGACTCAATTTAATCGTACCTGTACCGCCTTCACGCTCTATTTCCATTCCTAGAAAATGGTTGAGTACACCTTTGTCATTAACCTCAAAATTATCGGCAATTTGCCTTTTCACCTCACGCACAACTGCTATGTTACTGCACCCAATAATCAAGTCAACAAGGTATACCGCAAGGAACAAAATTCATTTGTCGTATAACACTATCCAGTTTACAGTTCCACTTTTTACCGCTTTGCTTCAAACCATAAATCGCCTTATTCAAACGTAAAACCTTTTCTGGTGAACAAGCATCAACAAAATGTGTCGGTTGCCGCATATATATCTCATCTTGAAGACGACTATTTAAATATGCCGTACTCACATCTATTTGGTGTAGGTGCATCTTATTCTTTACCGCCAATGCTAAAAGTAAACGTATTGTTGAATACCGCACGACTGGAGAAAAAGTTTTCTGGAAATTAATTCCAAATCGTTGGTTGCAACCCTTGGCAACTAGGCGTGACTTGTACCTCTCGACCTCTCCAATAACATTTCGTTTTAGAGCGAATACCCATTTGCATGGTATTGCCTTGTGACCAACCGGCAAATCTGATAATGACAATGTGTTATTTTTTCTCAATGACTGGAATTCATCGTTCATAGCCGTTTCCCAAAAATCCTTATTTTTACAGGACAAATCATCTTCACCTGTTAATGGCATATTTTCCTCAATAGCAACATTCAATTTATTATCCTCTTGTTGTATCTCATTGTTTTTTCGGTCTGCCAGGTTTTCCAGATCTTATTATCTTAGGCCTCCAGGACCAATAGTTTTCTGTCCTGCTCCATTACCATCTTCAGATTCATTGTCATCATCTGCCGTATCATAGTTTTCATCGTCTTCACTTTTCTGCACAGAAGGTTGGCAATCGTTGTCAACTACAGCTGCACTGCTATCACCATCACACAAATATATTGTTAAATAATCCTCTGCCTTACGAGGTATTTCACAGTTGTTATTGTCCTCCTTATGAACATCAAATTATTCTTCATCAAACAAAACATCGCGCTGCTAGACTACATTACGTGTTGACTTATCAGCTTTCGACGTCGCTGAATATCCAACCATAATATATGGTGTGCCTTTTGCCTTAAACTTTGATTTATTCGTCGACTTATCCAGACTTACCGCATACGAACCAAAAGTTTTCAAATGATCAACATTCGGCTTTCTACCGAACCACATTTCATATGGTGTTTTATTTTCCAATTGCCTTGATGGGCATCTATTACGTATATACGCTGCAGTGTTTACAGCCTCTGCCCATAAATATTCATTAACGCCAGCATGTACCATCATAGATCTAGCCATGTGTAGTTGGCCCTCTCTGCCACACCGTTCTGTTGCGGCGTATAAGGCATTGTCAATTGTCTACTGATACCTTCTGCCAACAAAAATGAGAGCTTTTATTTTGCAGCCTGTTTGCTTTTCAACATGTGCCTTAAAATAATAAAATAAACAAAAATTTTGCGAGATGCGAGATGCGGGGTGCGAACGAAGTATTTCGCATCGCTTACAGATTTTACTTTAAAGGTTTTTTGAAACTTTATTAAACAAATTTCCAAATTTTCAGGAGATCTCATGAGGATTTATGGACAATAGATAAGGGAATAAAACGGTGAAAAAATTAAATCAATAATTCTTACTGTTTAGCTGTACCTGCGATTTGAACTCTGCGGATTTCGGGAAAATCACATTTTTTTGTAATATTTTAGTGAATACGTATTAATTCTTTACTGTTGTACATTTTAAACAAAGTATTTTCAGAGTATTATATACCAGATAAAATAAGATATATATTCCAAATTTTATTCAAATCGGACATTCTTAACCCATAAAATGTGGTGTTCAAAGGTCAAATTTTGCAATATTTGGAAATTCTCTGTATACCATGTCGAAATATTATTTATTTGTCGGCCATATCTAATAAAGATGACTGAATTTTTAGCATAAAGTCTTATGTTAAAAATAGCAGCGAAAAAAGTAAAATTAACCCTTTAAAACACATGGGACAAATTTAACCCCGAAGTTCAAAAATCGTAAAAACCCTATCCATTTGAATAATGCTCTATGTATTCAGAGGAATAACAGAAATAAAACAAAAAAATATATTTTAGATATAAAATCTTATGAATTAACCCTTTTTGAGCATATAAAGTTTGTAATTTAGACATATTATGTCGAAAATGGGCCGAAAAAATGGACTACATAAATTATCAGTTTTAAAAACAAAATTTTTCCTTTAAAAATGTTAATAGCTTACTCCATAGTCAAAAAGAGTTAAAGTATAATTTTTTATACTTAATATATAAGTTTTTGTAATATTTCTGCTATTTCTCTAATTATATAGAACTTTATTTAAATGGATAGTGTTTTTTCGATTTTTTTAACTTTGGTGTAAAATTGTGCAGGTGCCTTAAAAGTTTAATTTCAACCTATTTTAAATATCGGACTTTATACGATAAATTGCAGTAATTTTTGGTAAATATGGCCATCAAATAAATAATATTTCGATATGGTACACTGAGAATTCCCGAATATAGCAAAATTTGATCTTCGAACTCCACATTTTATGGGTTAAGAATGTCTGATTTGAATAAAATTTGGAATATATATTTTATATTATCTGGTCTAAAATACTCCGAAAATATTTTGTTTAAAATGTACAACAGTAAAGAATTAATACGTATTCTCGAAAATATTACAAAAAAATGCTACTTTCCCGAAATCCGCAGAGTTCAAATCGCAGGTACAGTTAAACTGTAAGAATTATTGATCTAATTTCTTCACCGTTTTATTCACTTATCTGTTGTCCAGTTTAGTTTAACAAAGTTTCAAAAAACTTAAATTGGAGATTTGAAACGGAAGTTGAAAAAAAAACTTTTTTGACCATAGCTGAGAATGAGTTAGCGTTATCTTATAAGGGCAAAAACTAATATTCGAGTAATTATAGATATATTTTAAGTAACAAAATTATTTTTTAGAATGTATCTCAAAAATAAGCTAATTTTTTTGTCACATTTCGAATTTATGTGCTGTGATACACGTTAATGGCCTGGGAAATTTGCAATAACTTTAAAAATTTTCAACCAATTTTTATGTTTTATATCTTTCTGAAATGCTTATTCTGTGCACACGCGATTCCTTTATAATAAAGTGCAAGGTTTATTGTTAAGTTGCAAAATTTTAGCAAAAACTGAAAAAAAATCGATTTTTTCCCCTTGTAAATGCACTTGGAAATTTCAGAGCCGTTGCGGCACCTGTTAACGTTATCCTATCTGCCTAATTTTTTGCATGACATAGTTTTACGACCCATAGAACAATTCCAGAGGGGGACGGCCTTAGTATTAGTATTCCCATTTTTATTGTATAGGCCTTTAGATGACGAAGCAAAGTTTATGTTTTTATGTATATTTTTCTACAAATTTTTTATTATTTCATACCACAACTTTTTTGTATGAATCTACCATTTAATACAAATTTCTAAAAATTTTCTTTTTCGATACCATATATACTATTGTTATGTATAAAAAGGTTTTATTTTAAATCATCTTTACAGACAAAGATTTAATTAGTAACGACTTTTTAAAATGCTATTTTTTATAGATATTTATGTTCTTTTACAATTTTTAAAAGTGAAAAAGTACAATTTGGCCACTGATGGCCTCTAAGCTACAATATCCAAAAGATACTCTGAAATCTTCTCAATAACACTAAAATGTTTGCCTCTTTTTGCCTCTACGGCATTTAGGCTCACTTTTCTAACACTACATGATATGAAAATATTTACATTTTATTTAAAATCTAATTATTGAATGCGAAATGAATTGATTTAAATAATTAGTAAAATAGTAGAAACTAGTAAAATAATGACTGGACGTGCTATTGATTGATGCTTTATTGGTCTAACATTCTTGTCAATAAGTTTTGCAAGAATATTAGACGGAATCTGTTTGTACGGAAGAAATGTTTGATGTAGAAACTAGTAAAATAATGATAATAATTTTACAAAATTTTTTTTTGAAAATTGTGCAAAAAAAATTGCATTAAAGCTACGTTCACACCTATGAAATATTTGACGTTTTTTTATCAAATATTTATTGTCTGTAATGTGAACACAAAATATTTTTGAAGAGCAAACAAAATATCAGCTGTTTTTCGTGAAACATTTTTATTTGTCAACCTACAAATATTTTCCCAATATGAACACAATGTGAACACCAAACACGAAACATTTTTGTTTAACGTTAAAACAATTATTTAATTAAATTACAATAGTTTTTACAATTTCATAGAAATTTCTACCTAAAAAAAAAAAATAAATACGTTTCTATTTCATAATGTGCTTAAAATGAGTATTTCCGTTTTGACGTTTTGTTTGAAGAAACAATGCCAAACACAATTCAGTACAAATAGTGAAAATTTGTTTGCTCGATGTTCACACTACAACAAATTTCTTAAAACAATTGACGGATAAAACAGTGAAAAAACAAGATTTTGTTTGCAGCAAAGAGGAACATAACAAGAAGAACAGTTAATGCGCAACCAAACCAAAAGCCAAAAATATATCTGTTTATATTTACAAAGATACATATATCATTGAATAATAACATCAATTTATTCTAAAATTTTAAGAATCAAGTTCTATTAGTTTCCCAGATAAACGAATTTTATATTTAATTCATATGGGAGGTGCCAAGTTCCCCATTGAAAGTATGTCCATTATACTCTAAATGTTCAGATAAATGTCAAGATTCTTCAAGTAAAATTTGAAGATTCTAGCTCTAATATGTTGTGCCAAGCCACCCATTGAAAGTCCGCCCGTTATGCTCTAAATGTTTTTGAATTTGAATTTGATTCTATCTCTAACAGTTTCTCAGATATACAAATTTTTCTATTTGATTCATATGAAAGATGAAAGTCCGCTTTTTTCCCTCTAAAATGTTCAGATGAATATTTAAGTTCTTCGTGGAAAATTTTAAGAATTTAGTTCCATTAGTTTTCCAGATAAACGATTTTTTTTATTCCGCCAATTTATTACCCAAAATGTTTAGATGGATGTTAAAGTGATTCGTGCAAAATTTTAAGATTCTAACTGTAATAGTTTCCAAGATAACGAATTTTTGTATTTAATTTATATGAGAGGTGCCACACCCCCTAATGCTAGTCCGCCTACTTTTTGTCCTAAATAATTATATTGACACTAAAGTTGCTCTGACAAAATTTGAGGACTCTAACTATTATATTATCTCAAATATACGTATTTAATATTTTCTTAACATGGGCGTGGCTCCTCGCTCACTTGGAATTTAAAAAAAAAGTAGCCTATTACCTATTCCATACAGGAATACGCTGTGAAAATTTGAATAAAATCGGTTCAGCCGTTTAGTAGTCTATAACGTTCAAACATACATACAAACAAACACACATTAATTTTTATATATATAGATTTTTATATCCATTTATTTAGTAAATAATTGTTTAAATAAATTGAGTAATAAATTAATTAAATAATTTCTCAAGTAATTACTACATCGACTATAGACTACACTATAGACTACACCATTTTTAAGTGAAATTGGGAACATTACCCATTAAATTGAGAAAATTCCAAATGAAATTGTGATTTTCAATATGAAATTGAGAAAATTCCGAATAAAATTGAGAATTTTAATTTCAAATTGGGAAAAATCCAAATGAAATTGAGAATTTCAAATTAATATTGAGAAAATTTCAAATGAAATTAAGAATTTCCGTTTCATATTGAGAAAGTTCTAAATGAAATTGGGTTTTTCAAGTACAAATTGAGAAAATTCCAAATAAAATTAAGAATTTTCATTTGATATTTAGAAAATTTAAATTGATTTTGAGAATTTCCAATTCATATTAAGAAAATTCCAATTGATTTTGAGAATTTTAATTTCAAATTGAGAAAAGTCCAAATTAAATTGAGAATTTCTAATTAAAATAGAGAAAATTCCAATTCAAATTGGGAAATACAATTTAAATTTGGGAAAATTCCAAAAGAAATTGAGAAAAATTCAATTGAAATTTAGAAATTTTCAAATGAAAATGAAAAAATATCAAATAAAATTAAGAAAATTAAAAAAGTAGAAAAATATGAATGCAGATGTATGTATGTAAAAAAGACAAATTTTATTGTACTCTATGTAAGGAAATAACAATGAAACATAAATATAAAAATTAAATAAAACAAAACAAATAGACTACTGTCCAACATATCTCGCAACTCGAGATAAATGTATGTTAGGGCCGCGTGAAGTGGGCATTGAAACTACGGCTCGGGCACC